ACAGAGGTCATGTTCCTTACTCAAATTTACATAGCTGGAAAGCAGCAGAGCCTTAAGTTCTACCTAGAACTCTCAGACTTTGGAGCTCTGGTCTCCTCCTTCGTCCTGCAGCCCTGAAGCCTAGTGCCGTCAATGCACCCAGGGACTTTCGGAGTCATCGTAGAGTCATGCACTGTATGGATTCCCGTCGCAGTTTGGCTCCTGGTAACACTCTTAGCACCTTTAATTGGAATGCCAAATGGTTTGAAGGCCTAACATGGTCCAGTTGATGATGACAGGTGCCCCTCAGCACCCGGTCCAGACGCAGGCCATTCCAGACCACCAAGACCTGCACTTCTTTTTTTTCAGTGCCAATAAGCTATATCCTACCCAATGCTCATGAAACATTAGTGCTGGAAGGAATCTTACAGGTCACTAAGTGCCCTCCTTACTGGGGGAAATGAGGCCCAGGAGTATGCAATGCTATGCTTGGGTATGTTGCCAGGAGAGAAGAAAACCTTTTGAGGAACTCCACTAGCACTTTCTCATCAGATAAGGTATTTTGTAATAAAATCATTGCCCGAGCAAAGAGAATGAACTCTGCAGAATACAGACTTGGTGCATTTTCCAGGCATCTGGGCAGTGGGCCTGGCACAGGAGGCTGGAAGATCATGAGGGCACAGGGGAGGGCGGGGAGCAAGCTTCATGGGATGCTGGGGCCAGGGGTCATGCCACAGTATGAGTTGGGCTGAGAGACTGGATCAGGCCATTTCTCCTGCTGGTATCTTGTGCTATAAGATACCTCAAACTAGGTAATTTATAAATAATAGAAATTTATTGCTCACAGTTCTGGAGACTTGAAAATTCAGGATCAAGGCGCGAGGGGTTCAGTGTCTGGTAAGGGCCACTCTCTGCTTCCAAGATGGTGCCTCACAGGATGGAAGGGACAGAAAAATGGACAAATGGTGCATCCTCTCAAGCGGAAGAGATGAAAGGGCCAGGCAGTTCTCTGAAGTCCTCTTTTATAAGGACATTAATCCCATTTATGAGGGTGGAGCCCTCATGGCCTGCTCACCTCCAAAAGGCCCCACCTCTTACTGCTTGTGTTTAAATTCCAACACAAATTTTGGAGGGACACATGCATCCAAATCATTGTAAGGACCAAAAGGAAAAATTAGAGAAAACCTTGACTTCAGATTTGGGCTAGACTTGCTCTAGGTTGAGGGATAGACAGTGCCTACCCTGGATCAATTTTCAATAAACATCATTCGTCCTTCAAACAGGAGCCTGCCTGCTTTCAGCTGATGCCGAAGATAAACCTTCAGTTTTCTACCTAGTTCAGAGCTTAACCAGAAGGCTAGGTGAGGAAGGAAAAGAAATAGGATATAATCAGGTATATGGAAAACTGTGGTGCCTTTTGATACTTGCTGTATTTTCCATGGGGCTGTGAAAAAAAAAAGAGAAGTGAGAAAGGCTGACAAAAACATCATGGACAGGTATGCATTAGTGTCTATTTGGGAGAATAGATTAATTTTCCATTGAGAAACACTTTAGTCATGAAAGTTGTTATTTTTCAACTTGTCTAAAAGCAAAGCTATTTATTTCTAAGAACTACTGGGCCTTTGTAAAAGGCAAAGAACTAAAATGCATTTGTCTAAGATGTATTTGTCTTTTTAAATTCTATTTTATTTTAAAAAAAATAGTTATAAAATAGCCCGCCTCTTCTGGGTCATTGACTCAACAGAAATAAACCATGTTTTAAAGGCCGTTAAGAACCAAACTTTGACTCATCATTTCATTATATCTCAACAATGTACCATCCTCACCACTGCGCTAAGTAGTCAAATTGCCTCACGTTTTATTAATAATGATAACAACAAAAATGTACTTTAAATTTCAAATCACTTTCATATCATTATCACATTTTATTTTTGAAACAACTCATGAGTTCTTCAAAGTCCATATTTGTATATTTTTGTGCAGGTTGATGTTTCTTAAACATCATTTCTTTGCATACTATTTTCATGATATTTTATATATCCTGTGTACTTAGACTTTTTCTTAAATCAATTTACTCTTTTCAAGAAAGCTTAAATAGCTCTCTTTAGGAAGATAATCTTACAACAAAAAAGGAGAGCTCAGTTACTCCCTATCAGCAAAAGGAAACAAAACATAAATATAAAATGATTAATTTTTTAAAGTTTGTCAACATATCACTTAAAATGCCCGTTGTCACTGGTGGCAGAGGGTCCGCACCCTGGAACTGTTGGGTTGATGAGTGTGTGAAGCAAACTCTTGCTCTTTTCTGTCCCCTTGGTCTAGGCCTGGTGTCAGGCTTTGGTTCTTGACCCTGGGGGTAAAGAAATAGAAGGTGCAGTCTCTCTATCTTTTAAAGCAGAATAAGAAGGAAAGTTACAGGGTCATCTGGTCTGTTTTGGGCAAGCCTAAGCAAAAAGGGAAAATCAGTTTCCTTCGAATAGCTTGGTCGTGGGGAAGGACAGCTGCCTTCCCAGTGGAGTTTATGGCTCCTCGTCCATTGAGTCAGGGCTGGCTCCTAACTTACCTGTCACACTTTATCTTAGTAATAGACTCAAGGTATACATTAGCCTCGTTAAATGTCAGAGCCCCCAGGGCCTTGGAAGAGTCTAAAACTGCTCTTTCCAATTAGTGGCCATCTGAAAAGAGTCTTGGTTTTTTTGGCTTTAGTTCTTGAGTGCTGCCCTCTTTTCTCTCCTTCAGATGAACTTTCAGCTTGAGATCACTTCAGAATTGAGTCATCTTGTACTCTTGGTGCAGATGGCTCTCCAATCATCTCTGCTGTCCTTGACAGCAAACGCAGAGGAAAGCGGGGGTTTCAGATTGACAATTCGAATTGAGGCTTTGCCAATTACTACCTGGGCAGCTCCAGATACTCTGATAGAGATGGAAAAACAAAACTGGACCTGGTTTTTTTCCTTTTGGTTTAGAGGAAAGATGGGAATAAACAAATATGGCGATACAGCATAACAAAGGCAAGATATGAGTAAGTACGGACAGTTTTAGAAAACAAAAAAAGGGCAGCAAACCAGAGCAGGAACACCAGGAAAAGCTTCCTGGAGGAAGTGGTACTTGAGTTAGACCTTGAAGGATGAATAAGAGCATCTAGACAATGGAGGCAGAGGTAAGTCATCTTGAAACTGAGAATGGTTTGCAATTAGATGGAGCCTTAAGTTTCTCATCTGCAAAAGGCTGAAATGACTTCATAGGCTTACGGTCAAAATAAAGAGTTACAGAAATTGCCTGATGCTCTCGAGGACACATAATAAATGTTTGAGTTATTCATTTTAACCCCTTTGCCACTCCCCTGTGGACCCATAGCCTGTTTCCTCCCCGGTTGTAGTACTTAAGACATGGGGTATTGGGACTTACTCGTTTATGAGGTAATTGTCCCTGATAGGCCGAAGCTCCATAGGTAAAATGACAAGAGGGTCACAGCTTCCTTGGAGTGACTTCTTTCCACAAGTAGCCCTTGACGAAGCTAGCAAAAGCTCCAAGAGAAACTGCAGGTTGACATCTTTTTTCAGTGGGATATTTATGTTTGGGAGTAGTTTCACACTTACATTTCTGACACTTCCCGCTCTCCAGAACTTGAAGGAAGCAAGTTCCTCCCAGCATCCTGATCCTAACACTACACTTAGCATTCACTGATGTTGCCCAAAGGCTTAGCACAGTGCCTTGCCTGTAGCAGGCTGTCAAGAGGTACTTGTTGGGTGGACAGTGAGCCACATAACGTCAGGTATATGACTTCCTCACTCCATATCACATCTGTTTGGCAAGGTGTATGACCCACAGTAGGCATCCGAGAATGGGGTAGCTTCTCCAGCAGACCGTGCTTACTGAGCACTTAATCCTCTCGCTTTCTATCCATGGCATGGGTGCCATGGATGTGTCGCATGCAGCTACTGTGCACAGGGTTTCTTCGCATCTGTTCTTGCACGCTACCTGCACAGGGATCTAGTGATGTGATTCACGGTGGGCTGCCCTGTGGTGGTTTCTAGTCTCCACTTTGCTGCCACACCTCCTAAAGCTTATAGCTCCTCTCTTGTGGAGAGAATGTTCCATGTGGGGCTCTCAAGATGACAGGGGGCCCCTCTCCTGTTTCCTCTCGAGTTTGCTTTTGACTATAGGTGAATATGGGATCAATTTATTGGAAGAAAGTGGTACTGATGACCTCCTCGCCCAGACCCTGTTCCACAGACATTCGTGGGTGCAGCATTCTATTCTCAGAGACAGACATGGTCTCAGCAGGCCCGCCTGCACTTGCCTTCCTGTGCTTCCTGGCCCTCTGTGGCCATAAAGCCGTGCCTAGTCCATTCCAAGTCTTCTCCCCTGAGTGCTAATTAACCCTGTGCTATAGAGATGGACAGGACAAGAACATCATGTATGTAAAGCTTAAGAAGATATAGGAAGCCAGGGGTATGACACAGCCTCTGCCTTCCCCTGATGTCAGTGACTGTGTGCTCTTCAGCTCTGAATCCCCAGCATCTGGCACCCTAATAAATGTTTGTTGCATTTAAATGAATGAATGAATCTCAGCCTTGCCCAATTCTCAGAGCAATATGAGTTCCAGGCAGGTAATTCTGGGAACCTACTCACTCACTGCACCTGAGGTTTGGTATAGACTCACCTTCTGCAGCTGGCTGGCCCAGACCATAGTCACTCAGGCCAGGGCTACTGGGCTGTGCCCCTTGTTCCACTGGCTGTGGATCTGGCATAGTCCAGAGTGGATTCAGGCTGGGCCCCAGAGAACTGAAATATCCATGCTTATTTCTGTCCTAGGGCGGGCCCTCTCCCCCTCTGTGTCCCTCGATTCTCTTTATATCAACAGGATAGTGTAGGTGAGAGCAGCTAGGGCTCACAGGCATGTAGGCTAAAAGGAGGGGCAGGATACAGGAAAGAAAGGTAGGGCTGGGCCTTTGTCTCCATGGGGCCCCTTTCCATGCCTCCCAGCCTCGGACCACCTATATTCTTTCTCCTTACAGGCTCCCCTGGCCACACTGGCTCTACATCCATGAGCCCATCGGCAGCCTTGTCCACGGGGAAACCAATGGACAGCCACCCCAGCTACACGGACACCCCAGTGAGTGCCCCACGGACTCTGAGTGCAGTGGGGACCCCCCTCAATGCCCTGGGCTCTCCATATCGAGTCATCACCTCTGCCATGGGCCCACCCACAGGAGCGCTGGCAGCCCCTCCAGGAATCAACCTGGTGGCCCCACCTAGCTCTCAGGTAGGTGTTCTTCCTCTCCAAGGCCTTTCCAGCCATCTTACATGGTTTCATCCAGGCTGCTCCTGGAGCAGAACCAGCACTTAGCATGTGCGTAACGCGTGCTTGTTGAAGGGGTTGGATGGTGTCTGCAGACGTCCCTTAGGCAGGGTCTTCATTGCATGTGTCCTCAGGCTGAGCAGTCCTGAAGACCTGACGACTCCTCATGGTCCAGGAGACTGTGACCAAAAGGGACCCTCCCTTGTGGTTTTAGTAGCTCAGCACTGGCTGTGATTTCAACGTCTCTAGGGTTGTTTGTGGACAACTCGCATCAGCAGAGTGGACCCCTTTTATTCCTCTCAATTCAATCATGAGCATTTATTGAGTCACCGAATTGCCATGTGCTCTTGTTAAAGGTAATGCAGAAACGATCAGGGTATGGTCATTGCTCTCCAGAAGCTTACAGCTGAGAGGAGAAATAGGCAGGTATGGTAGTGGACAAATTGAGAGCAAGGCACACTGTGTTACATGCTGTCTCTAAGACTATGGGAAATCGGGAAGGAAATTTTACCTACGTTAATTTCGAGTGCATTCTGTCGTGAAGGAGAAGAGGTATGTGCGTGGTTCATGCTAGGTTGTTACTCTGCAGAATTTATAGGATGGCCAGATGTCTTTACTTCATTCTAACAATGCCACACTAAGGTCATCACCTTTCCCCTCTTGTAGTGGTTGGCTGTTGCTGCAATAATGCCACATAACAGAAATCCTCAAACACTTATCTTCTCACTCATATGCCTACCTTAAGCTAGGATAGATGGCTCTGCTTCAGATGGTGGGTGAGTGGGCTCAGCTGCAGGCTCATCATGTCCCACTGTAAAGGAGCAGCACCTACCTGGGGCATGGTTTTCTCATGGTGTATCACAGAAGTGCAAAAGTCCAAACCCAATCCAGAAAGCACAGTGACGTCTCTGCTCAAATCATGCCCACTGATATTCCATCAGCTTAAGAAAACCATATGACTGATGCCAACATTGATGGGGCAAGGAAGAAGGCTGTGTCTATACTAGTGGGAGGTACTACAGAGACACGATACAAAGAATATGAAGAATTAGAAGGAGTGAAGTATTAGGAACAATAATCCCATCTGCCACACCTTCTTCATTTCCTGTGTAATAGCCAGGATCTCTGCCGCCTCATCTACCAGCACACCTAGAGGCAGAACTGGCAGGTTCTTACGATGGCTAACTATGTGTCAACTTGACTGGGCCATAGGATGCCCTCATATTTGGTTAAACATTGTTCTGGGTGTTTCTGTGAGGGTGTTTTTGGATGAGATGAACATTTAAATAAGGTAGACTGAGTAAAGGAGTTTGTCCTTCCTAATGTGAGCGGGCATCATCCAATTAGTTGAAGATCTGAATAGAACAAAAAAGCTCACCGTCCTCTAACAGGAAACTTTCCTGCCTAATGACCTTTGAACTGTGACATTATTTTTTCCATGTCTCTGAATTTGAACTGGAGCATTTGCTCTTCCTGGGTCTCAAGCCTGCTGGCCTTTGGACTATACCATGAGCTTTCTTGGGTCTCCAGCTTGCTGACTCGCCCTGTGGATCCTGGGACTTGTCAGCCTCCATAATCATGTGAAGACAATTGCTTATAATGAAAATTTAAACACACACACACACATACACTCCTCCTGTAGATTCTGTTTCTCTGGAGATCACTGACTAACACAGTCCCAAAGCGTCCTTTGAATGTAGTTTTGGAGAAGAGGCAGGGTTCCTTTTATGTTGGCATTTTCTGCCTGGAGTCTCCTCTGAGACACTGCATATTCTAGGGGTCTGAAAGCAAATTCATGTGGAGTTACAGCATAGAGCCAGTAAGGACTTCAAAAATGTGTTGCTCCATAGAATAGATAATTTGGAGACTGAGAGATCAGCTAGTGTAGGGATTACAGGAGCTGGGGCCAGTCGGGTAACACAGGTGAGTAAACGAGGGGTGTGTAAGTGAATGAGGGTAGGTGTGGGCTGTGGAGGGCTGCCCTGCTCCCTCAAAGCTGTTCAAATTCAAAGACTTTTAAAGCATTCCTCAGGCCAAATAAACTACTTTCTTGGGTGTAATTTGGCCAGTTATCTTCACCCCAGTTTCTAATCTTATGGTTCTTACCTGCAGGACCTTTTTCAGAGTACATATTTCTCCCTCATCCCATGTTTTGTCCCTTGTGAAGGTAGCAAAAGCTCCACAGGGGATCCTCCCTGCCCTACTCCTGCTCAGATGAGGATCACTCATTCTATCCAAATCCTGTCTTCCACAAATGAAGTAGCAAGACTTGGGGAGCCCAAGTGACTTGTCCAGCCTCACACAGCTAGTCAAAAACAGAGCCACGATGAGGACCTGTCCCTGGCCCGCAGCCCTGTGTTCACAACTCTGCATTTGCCTAATGCTGTGATATATGCTGACTTGAGCAGTGACCTCAAGATCTTCCTACTGGGTGCCAAGGATTAAAAGATGGATAATCAGTGCTCCCAAGGAATCTTATGGGAGAGGTGGCCGCATTATGCAGATACGCTGAACTTGGGTGCTGCATGTATGCTGTCAGGGGCAGACCTGAAGAGAGCAAAGAGAGGGACCTATAAATTGCTCAGTATATATTCCTTGACCCCAGTGAGGGTAAAAGTGCTCAGAGGAGTGGGGATGGGGAAGCAGTAGGGGTGTACATGCATTTATGCCACTCCTACCTACTGTAATCATCAGGGCCATTGATACCCTATGCTTCATAATGTGTGAAGTTGGTTTATTCCCTTTCTTTCCTGTGAACAGAGTTCAGGAAGGACAGTAAAATCTGGTAGTTAGAGACAGAACAGAAGGCCAGTAAAGTCTAACTACCAGTAAAATCTGGTAGTTAGAGACAGAAAGTACATTGAAGTTTTGGGATGAAAGTACAGTTTTGCAAAAGGCATTGACATTCATCCCAATAACTATTTATGTGGACCTACTGTGCATCAGGCTCTAAATGACAGTGTCCTAAGTTTTAGGGATAAGCACAGAATAAGGTGGGCAAAGTTTGTACTGTCATGGCACTTACACAACAGCAGGCAGGAAAGACAAAAGCCTAAGGAATAAACAAGATAGTTTCAAATAAAAATCATAGAATCTGAAAAGAAATAAAATAGGGGGGAGGTGGTAGACAGATCCTGTGGGTAGGAATTGGGCAAGGCACCATCCCTCTAAGGCTGCTTTTAGCAACCACACTCAAGTCTGATTGAGCCAAGCCTGGCTAGTCAATTCATCCTCAGAGCTGTGTGAGTAGCAGGGCCACTACTCCTGGACCGTATGTCTGTACAGAGGGATTGGGGTTGAAAGGTCAGATGGAAGCTTTGGTCCTGGCCAACTGGGCTGTGTGCAGAGGCCAAGGCCAAGTTTGGCTTTGGGGAGCTATATTAAGCTTGCCAAGTGCTGGAGAAGCTCAACAGCCTGAGACCCTGAGCAGTGTTCTGGGCTTGGGCTCCGGAACCACACAGCAGCAAAGCTTTGCCCAGTTAACGAGACAACACCGGACCAAAGGCCTTGGTATTAGCTACAGTGAGCTGGACCCTGTGGATCATCTGGGCAGATTATTAATATGCACCCTGCCTTCCTTGCCCAGGACTGGGCTGAGAGTGATTCATGATGGAGGGATGTTCATTCTGTGACCTGGGTCTTGAGTAAGTACGATTTGGGGGTATAGGGAGGAGGAAGTGTCTAGGGGTGGGGGCAGCAGGCAGGGCCAGTCTCCTACTCTGTGCTCTGTCATTTTGTTGTTTGAGCTTCTCTTTTGGCAGCTGTTGGATTTTTGATCTTGAGGAGTAAAGAGATCAGAACTGGTACGATGAAGGCAGGAATTGTGCAATCTTTTGCAAACCACTGTAACTTGTTTCTGTTTCAGTTTCCTTTTCTTTATTGTGAGGTTACAAATATTTGCCCTGACTACCCTACAGGGATTTTTTTAAAGCATGTCAAAGGAGATGTGGATTTAGAAATCACTTCTCAAGGTGTGCATTGCTCTATAACAGTAACTTGGTACTATTATGATTATTCCCAGGTGATAGTATTATACACTTAGGTAATTCAGGTGTACTGTGTTTCTGAAAGGTTCTAGAGAAATTCATTTCAAGAAACATTTATTGAACCAGGCCCAGAACTGGGCATGGAAGATACCAAAATTGTGTATGAGATTCAATCCCTGGTCTGGGGAGTATCTAAGTGCAGTGATGCAATTTCTAAAGACATCAGTATATAATTGGGAAGATATTTATATACTTTTTAGATAATGTGATCTAGGAAACATTTCTCTCTCTCTCTCTCTCTCTCCTCTCTCTCTCTCTCTCTCTCTCTCTCTCTCTCTCTCTCTCTCTCTCTGTGTGTGTGTGTGTGTGTGTGTGTATACTGCATATTTGTCTGCATGATGTCTGCTGGCTGGACTCTGAAATGGGCCTCACAGATCTTTGGGATACTGCTGTCTTTTTCTCCCCTCCTGAACTCTGCAGCCTGACCTGGGTTCTATCATTGCTAATTTCTGCATAGGTATTTATTGATAACCGAATTACTATCCTCTTAAGTCTGTCTGCATTTTTATAGAAAATAAGTAAAAATTGCAAATGTTAGAATTGGTATAGACTTTAAAGTTCATCTAGTCTGATGATTTAAAAAAATAAAGCTGTAAAGTCTTTTCTTCAGATGTAAGCATATTTGGAAGTCTAATATACACATAAGATAAAAGCAGATCTAGTTGAGCCAGGGACAAAAGACTTGAAGCCTCAACCTCTCTGCCCGCCAACGATACACACACTCACCTAGAAATGAGGAAATAGAGTCTTTGCTAAGTGAAATGACCTGATTAAGACGGCATGGCTAGGAAGTGGCAGGTTTAGACCAAACCCAGGTCAGAGATCCAGGCTTATTACCCCTTATGACAAAGGCCCTAACTTGATTAAGGCAGTGCCAGTAGAAGGATTCTGCGCCCTGGAACGGGAGCGCCTGCCTGCAGCCTAACCTTTGGTGGAAGGATTTGGGCTGAACACAGCTCAGAAAGGCAAGACTCAGTGTTCAAGGTTGGCTCCAGAAGCATCCAGAATGAATTTGGTACCTGGCTGAGTCTGCAAAAGGGAAGACAATCCAGCAGACAAGTAAGTTTCTTTCCTGTTCTCAGGAAGCAGTCAGCTTGCGTGCAGCAGCAGATAGGAGCTGCCTGGTGAATCCTGGCTCTAAAGTGCTTATTTCAGTAGACTGTTTCTAATGGAACAAGACAGCAGGGATTGGGGGACTTGGGGACCAGGCAGCTAATGGGTTTATGCTCTGATGGCTGCCTTTGATCTCATCTGCCATTGCTCTGAGCCCAAAACAAACCCCAAGCCAGCCAGAGAGATGGGGAGAGAAAACATCAACCCACCTGTCCCAACTGCCCCTCCCGCCACCATCCACTCATGAAGAGGAAGAGTGTTGGAGAGGGGCTGCTGGCTCCGACTGGGGAGAAAGTGCCTTAAAGCAAGTATGTTCCTCTAGGGGCTCCTGGCCAAGGAGGTGGGGAAGGAAGCTGCTAGGGCAGGTAAGGATTGAGGACCACCTGTCACCCAAGGCAGACAAAGTGGTAAAGGAGGAATGATGGTTTAGAATCCAGGATCCTGGTGTTCTAGGTCCAAGCAGTCAGGCCTGGCAAGGTACCTAACCTGGTGTCCCGGCAGGTGCAATAGCCTTACATGTCTCCTTCAATCTTTCCTGATGTTCTGCCTCATTTACTTCACTGAGGTAATTTCAGGTCATTATTTCTCTGCTCCAAACCTCTAGTAGCTACTTATTGCTTCCCAGTCTAAATCTATTCTCCTATCCAGGCAATTCAGCTTCTAGGCTCTGTCATAGCCCACTTCTCAGCATTATCTCCCATCCATCCACCAGACATGTTCGCTCCACAAACACTTGGGCTTCCCTCTCGGCCTCTGCTCTCAAAGCTTTCTGCCCAACACTAGCCCATCCAAAATCCTACCCATTTTTGAAGGCTGTCAAGTCCCAGCTTTCTTCATAAAGTCTTCCCTGATCTCAACAGCATGTGATCTTTCCTTCCTAAATGATCCGAACTGACTTTTAATCTCATTAATGGCCAGTTGCTTCAGGCGGTGCCTGCATCTTCCCCCTTTATGGATCTCCATATTATTTCTGAATAAACAAAGGAATAAACTCACTTTAAGTCTCAATGTCCTTATCTGTAAATAGGAAGACCTCTAAGGGTTGTTGTGAGGATTAACAGAATTAATTAGCAATGAGCAACCTCTCCGAGGATGGTAGCAATGGCAATCATTACTCTCTGTGGTTGCTGCAGGCTGGTGGCAGTGGAGCTGGTCCTGCTGGAGATAGGGATAGGAGGAGAAGGAAGGGTGAGATCCCCTTGAGCCTCAGGTGATGGTGGTTTCTTCCTTTCTCCCATGACTTTTCTTGTCCATCTGAGGACTTGGGGATGGAGCCATGGTCACCTAGAGTGCTATCTCTATGGGGGCACCTGACCTAAAATTCTTCCATTTCATCAGTTGGATCCAGGTGCTCATCTGTTTCTTTGAGGCCCTTGAAGAAAGTTATTGCCTAGTAGTCACACGACACCAGTGGTTCTTGACCCTGGCTGCACATGAACATTATCTGGTGAAATTAGAGAAATGCCAAAGCTGGCTGAGTGCAGTGGCTCACGTCTGTAATCCCAGCACTTTGGGAGGCCAGGGTGGGCAGATTGCCTGAAGTCAGGAGTTCAAGACCAGTGTGGCCAACATGGTGAAACCCCGTCTGTACTTAAAAAAAAAAAAAAATTAGCCGGCATGGTGGCATATGCCTGTAATTCCAGCTGCTCAGGAGGCTGAGGCAGGAGAAAGGTTGCTTGAGCCAGGGAGATGGAGGTTGCAGTGAGCCGGAGATCATGCCATTGTACTCTAGCCTGGATGGCAGAGGGAGACTACATCTCAGGGAGGAAAAAAAAAGAAAGAAAGAAAGAAATGCTGGAGCTAAGATCCTACCTGAGACTCATGGAATCAGAAACTCAAGACATGGGGTCCATGTTTTTCTTCAAAGCCCCCAGGGTTGAGAACCTATGAAAACAAAATGTTTTCCTATGAAAACAAAATGCTGGTTACAAGTTCCAGATGTCTTATAGCCTTCTGTAAAAAAAAGGGGGCGGTGCAGGAAGAAAGAGAGAATTCTTCAATCACATATGTGTTGTCATTTATTATGCAAATTAATTTTAAAAAATTAATAGTGATGTTGATTTCCAAATAAAGCACCGAAGGCTGTCTTTTCTTCTTTGTATCCCTCACAACGTTTAACCAATAGCCTCTGTTTGCCCTCTGCACTCAATAAATATTTGCTTAGTGAATTGAAAAAGCTAGTGAATTTAGAAGGAACCTAGTTTAGGCTCTGTAGTTTCTGCTTTATTGAACTTTTCTTCTGTCCCAAAGCCTTGAATAGAGGAAAATCCTACCTTTGATTCAGTTTGAGAATTATTGTCACTTTGGTTAGGCACTATGATTTAAAATTGAGACAGACCATGGGAAGTCAGTCGTTCCTAACCCCTAAACGTTTACCTCTGCTGGTAGTGCATACCCTGCACTACCTTCATGTGAACTTGCTTGTGAATGTTCTTATTTTCTTGTGCATGTTCTAACTCCTTGATGACATTGTATATTTTTGAGGAATGAGAGATATATTTTCTAGGTTTCTATTGCTGATTGGATCACTGGCTCAAATTTATTCAACTTACTTTCTTTGGTGAATACAAGACACTTAGCAGCAGTTCCTTAGGAATCTTCCCAAGAGCACTGGGAAACACAGAGGTGGTGGTGGGGAGCTGATGTTAACTTACAATAAGGGATGAGGAAGGGATAGCACGAGATACATTTATACAGCCATTCAAATCTACTGACTCTACTACATGCTGGGCTCCATGAGGAAGGTGCTAAAAACACAAGGCAGACACAGCCTCTGGCTCTACAGATTTTACAGTTTCACAGGAAGATAATCTATTACAAACAGGTTTAAAATAGATCTCAGGCTTTCTACCCAATTTTTGGTGCTACTGCAATGATTTGGGTATTTGAGTCTGCGTTTTCAATGTGCTTGCAGAGATGACCATTACACATGTCCTTTTCCATTTTCACTGTGAATTCCTTCTGGGTGTGTACTTTTCCTTGCCTTTGTACCCCAGAGCTTGGCACAGTGTCTGGCATGCTGAGTGCCCAGGGAATGTCTGTTGATTGACTAATGAATGGATTTGCATTTTTTGCTTGGCTCTGTTAGAGTGTAAGGCTTTAGCCTGAGGGCCATAGCTCCTCTTGCAGCACGGCTGAATAGGCAGTCAATAGTTGATAAAAATTTAAAAATACACAGCTGACATTGTCCTAGGTGTGTAATTTGGCATGGATTTCTAGCTCAAATAAAACGCATGAGTAAAATGAATAAAAGCAGAGAGACTCTAATGGAGTTGTGTTGTTGTGATTTTTGGTTTAGGTTTTAGCTTCTGGAAATGATATTGTTCCTCCTATGACACTTTTTTCCCTCCCTTAAGTTCATCTCACAGATAGGCAGTTTCAAACACTCTGCACTTGGAAACTGTTTCTTGAAATAGAACTTGTTTTTTCTTGAGTATGCCCTCGTTGCCTTAGGCCTTGGGGATTGAGTTTACTCTGGCTCTGTGCTTTACAGTATTTTTTTTCTCTTGCAGCTAAATGTGGTCAACAGTGTCAGCAGTTCAGAGGACATCAAGCCCTTAGCAGGGCTTCCCGGGATTGGAAACATGAACTACCCGTCCACCAGCCCTGGATCGCTGGTTAAACACATCTGTGCCATCTGTGGAGACAGATCCTCAGGTACATGCAGAAGCAGACAGCCCGCTAACGTGCCCCAGAGAAGGGGTTGCCCACTGTCCACCTGAATACTTTGTACCCAATGAAAGGAAAGTGTCCCTTTAGGTTGGGCTAGATGGGAACCCGCCTGTACATTTCTGTCACTGCATTCACAGGCTACCGTCTGGGTGAATTTAAAGTATGGCTTTATTTTTTGAGGATGAGATTTACAGGAAACATTTCAGAAACCCCTCTCTGGAGTCACATTATTATACATGTATCTGAGAGAGAGAAGCTGTTGTGATTATCAAGTATTTTTGCTGGGTGTGGCGGCTGACACCTATAATCTCAGGACTTTGGGAGGCTGAGGTGAGAGGATTGCTTGAGCCTGGGAAGTCAAGGCTGCAGTGAGCCGTGATCATGCTACTGTATTCCAGCCTGGGTCACAGAGTGAGACCCCATCTTAAAGAAAAAAAAAAAGTATTTAAAAAAAAACCTCCCAAATAAGCAATTTTATAAATAATGTCCTAATGTACAGGATTTGAAAGAACTATAAAACTGCAAAGAAAAAGTAAAAAATTACCCGTAAGGTCCCCAAGAAAGATAAACCCTTTAATATTTTAGCATATCTCCTGCTATAACATTCTAGGTTTTCAAGATGTTTTTCTAGGCAGGAACAAATGTGTTTTCACCATTTACTTTTGATTCTCTTCTCGCTTTCTCGGTTATTTCTTTCCTTGCTTCTTTCCTCTTCATTCTTTCTGTCCCATATTTTCCTCCCCACCAATTTTGAACACATCTGAATCTCCGATTTGACTATTTGAAGAATAATAAGAGGGGTGGGTTATTTTCTTTTCTATAGTTGCCCATGATGGCTAACTGAATATTTCCTTATCCTCTTACTGTCACCAAAGCCACTACAGAATATCACTCCATTGAAAGTTCCAGGCACCTAGAACTTACCTAGCTGAATGGCTGATGTTTGCTTGTTCTCAAAAAACACTTCCCAAATCATGCAAACTTGGCCATTGCCATAACAGCACATCACCCATAGTCCAACTGAGTGTTTTCTCTGCCATGATTATTCTAGTTGAAAGTCTATGAGGTTCATTTAAATATTGAAAAGCCATGGGAATGACTCTGCCAAACAGTTGAAAAATTGGTCCCATATTTCTCTAAGACAAATATTTCAGATCTGAGAGCACTAGGTTTTCTGGGCCCGAGATAAAATCCTGTATTTATCATTGCCATGAGTTCAGCAATGTGAGAAGCCAGCCTGTAGTATGGTCAACTAATGAGTCACAGGCTGGCTTTTCCGCAGGCAGCCTATCTCTAACCATCATTTCGTTGTAGAATGGCTTCCTCTGAACTGTGAGCTCCTGAGATGCTGGAAACCTAAGTGAAACAGAATTAGAAAGTCATGTCACTTCTGTAGCTCAATGACATCACATATTACATTCAAGAATTAGACGTAAATATGTTTTGAATGATTTGTTTCCTTATGTTTTTGAAGTTCCACAATTTCAATCAATCAAGCATAGTGCCTGGTATTGAGAAGACTTCTACCTAGAAAAAGTACTGTGATTGATTCATGATGGCTGTGTGAGGCTGGGCTTGGTGGCTCTCCTGACACAAATTAGCCACCCCGGCCTGGGGTAATTAAAAACTGCATGTGTGGAGCAGGTAATAAGGGCAATGAAATATGCAACAAATTAGTCTGGATAAAGCAAAATCACCTTCTTTTTATTTTTATTTTCCAAGACAGGGTCTCACTCTGTCACCCAGGCTGGAGTACAGGGGCTCAATCTTTGCTCACTACAACCTCTGCCTCACGGTTCAAGTGATTCTCATACCACAGCTTCTGAAGTAGCTGGGACCACAGGCACGCACCACCATGCCCGGCTAATTTTCCCCTTCCTTCCTTCCTTCCCTCCTTCCTTCCTTCCTTCCTCTCTCTCTCTTTCCTTCCTTCCTTCCTTCTTTCTTTCCTTCTTTCCTTTCTTTCCTTCTCTCTTTCTCTTTCTCTCTTTTGACTGGGTTTTACCATGTCAGCCAGGCAGTTCTCCAACTCCTGACCTCCAGTGATCTGCTTGCCTTGGCCTCCCAAAGTGCTGGGATTACACGTGTGAGCCACCATGCCTGGCTGAAAAATATCAGATCTTTATGTCATAGCTTGATTGTCAAATGATATAAAGATAAACCACAAATTAATTTCCTAAACAGGCAGTAGCACTTAAAAATTCATAGCTCAGAATTCTGTTTATAGTTTATAGTAAAGGACAATACATTTAAATGGGTTTCCTAAGAACTTGGGTTTCAATAATAGGAAATATCAGTTAAGTTGGGGTTCTTTTCCCGCTAGGTAATATGTGACAAGCATATGTGTTTTTATTTATCATTTACACTAACGTTTTGAATGAAGGCAGAACATTTGCTTAACTATACCCAAGAGTTGCCTTCATAAAATAAATGTAAAGAAAGTCTTAGCCTTAGGAATTTTCTAATAATGCTATCTAGAATTAGTAATACAGAGGAAACACACAAGGAAAGGTGTATTTATTTGCTCTGTCTTAGTTTGGTTCCTGTGATCAAGCCTGCATTCTCTGCTAGTTGTTATTTGCTTTCTGTCCCAATGCCCAAGTGATGTGCCTGTTTCTCTGGGGAAGAGCCAAGAGGTTCTTTTGAATGAAAGATCCAAATAAACACAAGAACAATCTATGGAATGTTCTTTTCTCATAACTAGGAAAGCACTATGGGGTGTACAGTTGTGAAGGCTGCAAAGGGTTCTTCAAGAGGACGATAAGGAAGGACCTCATCTACACATGTCGGGATAATAAAGATTGCCTCATTGACAAGCGTCAGCGCAACCGCTGCCAGTACTGTCGCTATCAGAAGTGCCTTGTCATGGGCATGAAGAGGGAAGGTGAGACACGTTCAATTCCAATACATGTGTCTGGACAGAAGCATTACCTAGGGCAAGGGGACATGCAACTGCAAAACACGAGAAGTCATGGTGCCCAAAGTCATCCGAACCTCCATCCACTTCAAACTTCTTGCCCACAGGGCTCTAAAGAGAAGTCTGAATTGGAGGTTAGGATGACCTTGGGAACCATGACTTCTCATGTATTTCAATGTACCTTTGTCCTAGGAAATGTGTCTCTCCAGAGCAAAGAGGGCAAGAGGCATCTTTCTCCTCCACATTTACCCATCCTCTCCTGGAGCCCAGATGGTGATCCCCAAACTGGACCTTCTCCCTTTTTCTTCCAGTAGCCAGGCAGCAAGTCTTAGAGCCAAAGTTTCAGGGTCCTTATGTTGTGCTCTACCAATGGATTGTCAGACTGACCAGGGTGGAGGTGACTTTTCTCCTCTAATCCTAGGTCTCTCTCTGGGGAAAACTGCAGGCTTTATTTCACTCACTCAGCCTTTATACCTTAGTCTGCTTTAAATTCTTTGATGTTGGTATATTCCATCATCTTTTGCATTACTGGCATTACACAGGTCTGACATACCTAGCCTTCCCATGCAGAGAGACTACAGCTGTGTGTTGAAACTGTTACATCTTTTAATTTATACTGTGGTTTAGCTGGGTATTCTAGTGTCAGAGAAAAAACCTCTGAAGGTACTTTCTCTTCCTTTAGAAGATGGAAAAGTCTTTCCATTAAGTAACACAAATAAATTGAAGTGGGCAGTTAATTAACTAGCCAGCTCAAGCAGGGACATGGGGCTAGTGGTGAATCTTAATAGATTTTGGAGTAAGAAGGCCCTGCCTTTCTTTAGGAAATAAGAAGAAGGAGTTCAGTCAGACCCAGCAGGCTCCTCATTGTTGAGGAACTTCTTTTCTGTGAGAAGACGACATCTGACTGACAGGGTCAATGAAGAGGGGCTCTTTGTGTCCCCGCTAACAGGGAATGTCACTCACGAGAAACAAATTCTTGGAATCTTAACATGTCGAGATGCTAACGGTGGCCTTACAGAGTCACCTAATCAACTGTAACCATCCTCCACACGAGGAAACAGGCTCAGAGAGGTGAAGGGAGTTTTCTGAGGTGCCAAAGGCGGGCAACAAATTGACCCCAGGTCTCTGACTCCCAGATTGGCGCTGATCTGTGTCTCCTTCCTGCCAGGCTGTGAAGGAACTGAGGACAGCCCTTGCTGTGACATCTAAGAGCAAGAGACCCAAATCTTAGCCCCAGATAATCTGCCCCACACCCCAACCTGTTCCTCAAGCAGTCTTCCCCTTTCAGGAAATGACCACTTATTTTCCAGTTGCTCGGAACAAAACCCATTGACTCCCCTCTTTTTTCTTTTTTTCTTTTCTTTTTTTTTTTTGGAGATGGACCCTTGATCTGTCATCGGGCTGGAGTGCAGTGGCGCGATCTTGGCAACCTGCCCTACCTGCCCCCCGCTGCCTCCTGGGTTCAAGCGATTCTCCTGCCTCAGCCTCCAAGTATCTGGGATTACAGTCATGTGCCACCACTCCAAGCTAATTTTTATAATTTTAGTAGAGATGAGGTTTCACCATGTTGGCCAGGATGGTCTCGATCTCCTGACCTCGTGATCTACCCGCCTTGGCCTTGTGATCCACCAGCACTCCCAAAGTGCTGGAATTATAGGTGTGAGCCACCGTACCTGGCTGACTCCCCTCTTCCTTCACACATCACATGCAGTGGGTGAGGAAATTTTGTCTCTTCCTCAAATATGCCCAGAATCTTTCCATGTTTCACTATTTTTACTGCTACCCCCCCAATCCAAGCCACTGTCTTCTGTAGTGATCTACATAGCATCCTAAGACATCTCCCTGCTTCTTTGTCCTTCTACAGTCTCTTCTTAGCACAGTAGACAAAAGGAGGCTTTGAACAAGTAGATTGGGTCAAGGTACTCCTTTGCCAAAATGCTCCAATGTCTTTCCTTATCACTCAGAAAAAAAGGCAAAAATCTTTGTTAGGACTTAAGGTTGTACGTGGTTTGGATGCCCTGTTGTCTCTCAGCCTCAACCTTCCTGGCCTCTTTGCTGGTCCTCAACTACACCAGGGATGTGCCCACCTCAGGGCCTTTGCACTTGCTGTCTGTCTAGAATGGCTTCTTTTCAGGTGTCTGCATGGTTCACTTCTCATCCTTTGGATCTTGACTCAATTCTCACTTTCTTACTAAAGGCTTGCCTGGCTATACTGTCTAAAATTGTGCCAGTTGCCTGCAACCCTTCCTTGTCTCTTTTGCACAGCACTTATCACTATCTAACACTTATATTTATCTTGTTTACTCTCTGTATCCCTGAAAGCAGGGGCTTTGCCTGCTTTTCCTCCCCCTGCTTTATCGCCAGTGACTAATACATTGTAGCCGTTTAATAAATTGTTGAATGAATAGTTTAAACTGAATGCTGAAATTGGAAATTTTAGAAATGCAGGAGCTCCTAAAAATGACTCATTCATTTATTCACTGAGTATTAGCTGAGTGCCTACTCTGTGCTTACGTCATACCTGCTGTGGCAGTGGGATCAATGATGCTATAGATTGGAATACATGATATAAAATACCTGCTGATGAAGACCATCTTTTTTTCACTAGGATAGAATTGATACTCCCTGGAGCTTCCCCCACTGTGATTATCAGAACGAAACTAATGACTACAAGGGTTTCTCCCATTAACAAGAGTCCAGTGCCTGCAGGGTCATTGTTTTCCTCCTAAAACACTTGAGATAAGTTTCCAGTTGACTTGGAAAAATAACAGTTTTCATTAAGCTAATGATACTGATTTAAAAGAAAGCGAATGGCCTCAGTCAGAGAAAGCATCATTTTTATTTCTCTAGAGTTAGTCTTATCCATCTCTCAAAACTCAGGCTGAATATCTCCAGCTCAGGAACAGAGTGGTCAATAGGCCAAATGTTGGAAGTGTGATTATTTATTTATTTATTTATTTTATAAAAAGGAAGGAAAACAGGGACATGTGAACTGTAAGAAACTAGACAGTTCTTCTTGCAAATCTAGCACGGTTTGTATACTTTAATAGAAAATTGGACCCAGTTTTTGCTCCTGCATTTAAAAAAAAATAACGTGGAGAAACAGAAAGAATAATGAAAAGCAGAGTAGTAAAAATTAGGAGTGGGGAAGGACCTCTTAGGGAACTTTCTAAAGAGATCAGTACCATTTACCCTGACAAAGAGAAGGCAAAGAAGTGAATCAATTCCTCCTCTCGCTACGTAAGAGGCCACATTCAAAAGGCTACTGGATAGCCTGTCCTTCATCACCATCATTTCTGGTCTTGATTTATAGAATTTGGGGCTCAGTTTGCACTCTTTCTTGAGGACAAGAATAATAACATCCTGGAGCAGATAACAGAGAGATAATGGAAATCACACAGATAAAGAGATGGAACTGGGGTAGGCACAGAATTTACCTGCCTGGGACCAGGGGCCAGGACCTGTTACCCTTTTAGGATACATCATGTTAAAGATAGAGCGGACATTTTCTATTCTCAAAGGTAACACATCCATTTCCTGAAAGAAGAATCAGAGGTTCGGAGAGCCTAGGGACCTGCACCAGCTCACACAGCAAGCAAATGGCAGACCCGGTATAGGACTGGGATCCTCTGATTCTTGGGCCACCTTGGGAATTCTGGAATGTCTATTTCCATGATTTCTGGTCATATACATGTAGTTTCAAGACGGGAGAATGGATTACTTTAAAGCTGTTCCTGGGCAGCATTGGTATCCTTATGAGCCCTGTGTGGTCTTTATCAATAGAACAAGCCCAGTACCTTGGAGCAGCACTGCGAGGTTACAGATGGGCCCAGGAGGAGCCATTGTGGGTGCTTGTGCTGGCTCCACCGTGGCCTACCATATGCCCTCAGATATGTTACTAGTTTCTCTATGGCTCATAGTATGTCAGAGGGTTATCGTGAGGATTAAATAAAATATAATCTGTCTAAAATGTTGCGCATAATTCCTGACGCAGAGAAAGAGCTTCTTAAATGTTGGCTATTGTAATAAGTACAGAATAATCACATGTTGGATGAATGGTTAAAATCCTTTCATAAGGCAGGGGGTTGGGACTATTTTTGATCATCCAGGATTCCCTGGATGGACCCTGATGTGTGTTGTAACAGTAGCTTAGAATGTCAGACATGTAGAAGCAACCCACCAGTAACAATATATGACTCCTCGTTTACAACAGGAAGATTTAAGCACAAAGAGGAAAAGTGAACAGCAAAGGGTTTGCTCAATTAATGGCAAAGCTGGAATTAGAATCTAATTCCATGACATTAGGTTATTTTCTTTGAAGCTTGAAGGTTATTTTCCTTGAGTGTTAAAAGTCTGTAGAAGAAATTGAGGACCACGAATGAAACTTAAACCTAGTTTGCTTTCCCTCATCTTTTAAAGTCAAGACAAATAGAAGCTCATAACCTACCTTTAAAAAATTAATATAAGAAGCATTCATGTTTCCTGGTAAATCCAACTATAATAAAAAATACATATTATGACAATCTACATGTTGTCAGTGAATGAAGGCTGACAGAGTGAGCAGAAAGTAAGCATGAGACAGAAAGAGGAAGAACAACAGTAGAGAGAGGAAGAGGCCAAAGAGGGAGCTGGAGAGATGAACCCAAGGGGCTAAAAAGACACAAAGGGAAAGAGAAAATGATTATTTATATTGAATTTTTTGTAATTGCTTCATTCATCCCTACGATATTATCTCAGTTAGGTACTGAAGAGTACCAGCCTTACCTAAGTACCAGCCTTAACTATTTCAGTTAATCCCTGGTTCACAGATAAGGGAACTGGGGCTTGCCCGGCTCAGTCATACGTCCAGTGCCATTTAGCAGGGAAGGAGTAAGAGTTATATGTGAAAAAGTTTTCTTTGACTCCAACGTACATGTTTTTTGCTCCTATTTTCCCTGTCTTCTCCTCGTTGTTCTCTCTTCCTTCCGTTTCCTCTTTTTCTCACCCCTGTTTTCTTGTCTCTTTCCCTTGTTCCTTTTCTCCTTTCTACCCTCCTGGCCTCTCTCTCAGTCACACAGTACCATTTGTGTCTTGAGGCTTTTTGGCATGTCTCCACTAAGCTTTGGAGTCTAAGTTGTGTTTTTGCAGTCATACCCTTCTCTGACCTACCTTGAAAGACTGATATGGCTCGCATGACAAACTAGATGTTCGGCATTGCGGTTCCAGTCTGTTCTGCAGCCTCTGTGGCTCGTTATCTCCTGAGAGAGTAGGAGGCACTCTCACAAGTGGACTACGGGGAGGAAGGGAGAGAGATCAGAAATAGGAGCTGCTAGTGGAGTAGCTGTCACTGAGTTTCAGGCTAGTCACCTGCTTAAAGGATAATTTTCTTGACTCTTGGGATGTAAAAAATGTGTTTTAATATTGAATTCTGTTTATTGCTGTTGTGACTAAGATGGAAACTACAGCCTTCTAGATGATGGAAACTAACTCAACAGAAACTTTTCTCCTGAAGGGCGTAGAATTGGAGGGGGCAGGGGTCTGCTTTTCAACCTAATGTATAGACATGGAGGCTTCTGAGAGTTGGGCTGAACCTTGATGAAAACCCTAAGCTTTGGAGAGGCTGAGATAATTCCAACCTACACCTTTGCCTATGTACCCTCCCCCATCTCCAAAATCAGCCACAGATTCTGAAATGTCATCTAGGTGACATCCCTCCACCCCTTCACTTACTAAATACCCACAGCTGGCTCCCTGAAGATCTTCCCTGACAAGTCAGATCAGGTGATGTTGTGTTCAAGCTGGTGCACAAGGGGCAGACCTAATGGGACGTGAATGCCAAGGATGATGCATAGGATCTGACAGAGGGAGTTTTTAAAGTAATGTGCTTGCTACTTAACTCTTTCATGCTCACAGAGTTTTTTAGAGGCAGCAGGTAGAGGAAGAATGTGGGGATCTGCAGGGATAGCAAAGAGAGGGTGGCCCATTAAAAGAGAAGATAAAGAGTTTATTAAAGCTTAAGATGCACACTTCTTAGTGTGGTCACTAAAGAACCCCTCCTTCTGCATAGGCATAAGCAAACAGCTTTGCTTTCATTCTTTCGTCTGTCAACATTACAACATTCCCAATTCAGGATCATGATGATTCCCCTTTCACAGATGAGTAAGTTAAGGCTTAGGTGGGTAATACATTTTCCCATTGTTGTTGTGGGTATTATGGTAACCTCTGCATGTCCTGCTGCGTGTCAGCTGTGCAAGAAGAAAGACAGAGGAGCCGGGAGCGAGCTGAGAGTGAGGCAGAATGTGCCAGTAGTGGTCATGAAGACATGCCCGTGGAGAGGATTCTAGAAGCTGAACTTGCTGTTGAACCAAAGACAGAATCCTGTGGTGACATGAACATGGAGAACTCGGTATGTGCTCTTAGATACACATGTGTGTTCCATTTCTTGGCTAGGGCTGGAAATGGGAGAAAGGGGTGTATTCAAGCCCTGGGACCTGTCCTCTCAGTACTTTCTTCCTTTTTCAGACAAATGACCCTGTTACCAACATATGTCATGCGGCTGACAAGCAGCTTTTCACCCTCGTTGAATGGGCCAAGCGTATTCCCCACTTCTCTGACCTCACCTTGGAGGACCAGGTCATTCTGCTTCGGGCAGGTAAAGTATATTGTCTGCCTTTCTCTCTGGGACAATTTTGAAACTGCTCTTGGGATCCTAAAAAAAGGTGGCCTGATGAAGCTGCAACACATCCAAGCTATGTACCATGTTGATGATGAAATAACCCCATGCAGAGTTGTTTATTCCCAAGTGAAACATTGTTAAGGAAGGAGTGGGACTCTTTTCCCATGCAAATTTTACCATGGCTTTATAATTTGCATGCGTTTTTCAAAGGCTGTTCAATCATTTTTATTGAGGCTAATTTGAAGCAGCACCTCATTATTGTAATGCAATTGGCAAATATCTCACCCATTTCATAGGTGAGATAAAGAAGCCAAAGATGTTTGCTTAAGCATGTACTAGATGAGTTCCATGGTCTTCCTATTTTAAGACTCTATGTGCTGTATTTTCTCTTGCCTGCTATTTCTGGGACACTTGCAGACCATTGACATACTCCATATCTCCTCTTTGTCACGGAGCCAGCAGGGAAATAATATGAAGATTGGCTGAGCATTGGGAACCAGTCCATTCATTCATCCCTGTTAGATAATGAGCACTCATTGATTGTCAGCTGGAAGCTACATACTGTTGGGAGTTACTAGACAATGACAAACAAAACTAGGTTGTCAGGTCCTGGGGGCAGAGACTGCAAGGTATATTAACTTTGTCCACCATGGCAGCTAACATAGTGACTATTATCTACTAAATGTTCAATCCACATTGTTGACTGATTAAAAAAAAAAAAGAATCCTTGTCCTCAAGCTGTCATTCTGGGTTGCATCTGAGAGAGAGTAGGGGATGTGCAGAGCCGTAAGTCAGCAGACTCCAGTCTTAGGCTTTGTTTCTTCACTAATTAGCTGTGTCCTCTTGAACTAATTCTTAACCTCCCTAGATTTTCAATTCTGCTTGTGTTCTGTGGGATAATAGTACATGCCTTGGGTGATTATAAAGAAAGAAAGAATGTGGTCTGTTTTCCCTCAAGACCTCCTCCTTATCCTTGCAGGGTGGAATGAATTGCTGATTGCCTCTTTCTCCCACCGCTCAGTTTCCGTGCAGGATGGCATCCTTCTGGCCACGGGTTTACATGTCCACCGGAGCAGTGCCCATAGTGCTGGGGTCGGCTCCATCTTTGACAGGTGTCTCTCTTCTGCTTTCAGTATTTGTGTGTATTATGTATGTGTATGTATACACAAGTGTATGTACATGAATTCTCATGTGGGCATGAACCTCTGGGTAGTGCTGGGATGGAGGACGGGCAGCTCAGTTAGCTGCACGTGACTGCAGAGATCACTTGGCACATGAAACTATAAACCTGGGGAATGAGGGAGATTAAAATAAAGGTTGAGATCACAATAAGATGGAGCCAGTCAGAGGCCAGCACAGTTGCCAGGCAGATGGAAGAACCTGTTATCCCAATGGGTTTTCCAAGATGAGATTAGATCTTGACACCAGCTAGTAAGTTGTGGGTGGAGAGGGTGAACCGCTTATCCTAGGGGCCAGGGATGGGAAAGGGATCAGGATCTGTCCGAAAGAGGACAAACAAAATGGGCTGTTTATGCTGGGCTCTGGATGATCTCAGGAGGCCTGCAGCAGGAGCAAACCCATCTTGGTCAGGCAGGGACACCCTGGCAGACATTCTGGGCCTTAAATGATACTAAAGGAAAATTAAGCTGTCTGCCAAGGAGTCAAATAAAATGAGTAGTTAATGACTTGAGAGTGGGAGGATGGAAAACTGGTAAAGAGGAGAATTCAGTTGAAATTAATCTCTCTGTCCAGTGCCAGGGCCCTGTGGCCCCTTTCCACCTCCTTGGTAAATGGTCTTATTATTATTTTTTTTTAATCATGTGCATATCCACTGAACTGTCTCTACTATTTCCCTGCCCTTTCCCACATGTTCCATGTAGAGTCCAACATGTCATTGGGAATGACCCATCCCCCTTCACGGTGCCTGGACATTTGTACCAGTTCACTGACTGCTGCCCTCTGCAGTGCTTTTCTAGATATGCAATGCCCTTAGCTTGCTTTGTGTGTTGCATTTCTAATTTCCAAGACTTCCATGATACCTTTCCGGTTCCCTGCTCAGAGTTCATTGCTGCCTCTTTGGAGCCCACTTGGACTTTGCTCATGGCTGTTATATTCCCGGGCTTTGTGTTGCTGCTTGTTTTTATGTCTGTTTCTTTAGTTAAGCTGTAATCTTGCAATGGGGGGTTGCATCTTTTTCATTTCTGTGTCCCTAGTACCTGGTACATCGTCTGGGAACAGAGTGGGTACATAAAAATTTTGGTTGAATTCATCGTATTGACTCTTGGCCTGGTACTCATGGTTTTCTCATTACCTGCTCCTTTCCTGTTAACAGAGTTCTAACTGAGCTGGTTTCCAAAATGAAAGACATGCAGATGGACAAGTCGGAGCTGGGGTGCCTGCGAGCCATTGTGCTCTTTAACCCAGGTAACTGCCCTTGGACCCCAGGGGCTGTGTGCGCTCAGCCCTTCCGTGGCCAGCCTCCACTGCTCCCATGTTGTTGGTCCTCCGGCTCAGCTGAGACAGAGACGACAGAGCCAGGAATCCAGGAGAACTCACAGTGTCAGCCACAGCCATCTTAAAAAAATGTTTTGAATGGGCATGGCAGGCACATGTCTGGGGCAAGTGGGGAAGATGAAAAATGACAGTGGCCCAGGGTGGCAGTGAATGCGGTGGTAAAAAGCAGTCAGATTCTGGCTATATTTCTAGGTAAAGCCACTGTGATTTGCTGATGGATTGACTATAGGATGTAAAAGAAAGAAAGGAGTTAAATATGACTCCCTGTTTTTTTTTTTTAATTTTGTTTTCCTGAACAACAGGAAAAATGAAGTTCTTATTCACTGAGGTGGGGAAAATTCCATGAGGAGCAGGTTCTGAGAGTAGGTGGGTAGGAATCAGGATCTTGTCTTTGGACATTAAAATAGGAGATGGGTAAGTAGATACCCAAGAGTGGCTGCCCAGAAAGCTCATATGAGTCTGGACCTCATGGGAGAAGCCAGAACCAGAGATGTGCATCTGTGAGCTGGCAGCCTCTGCCTGTGTAAGGCCGTGACACTGGGGTGAGATCATCTGGGGAGACAGAGCAGAGAAGAGGGCTGGGGACTGAGCCCTGGGGCATGCCAACATTTAGAGGTCAGGGAGAAAAGGAAGAGCCAGCAAAGGAACCTGAGAAGGGGCAGGCAGTGAGATAGGGAGAGAATCAGACAGGTGGTGTCCTGTAGGCTCAGGGAAAATAGTCTTTCACGAAGGAGTTGATCAGCTCCAGCAAACGCAGCTGTGGTCAAGAAAGATGAACCTTCAGAATGAGGAGTCACTAGTGCAGAGGCTTTACCTCCAGAGTTAGGCAGTTAGTTCACTGATGCAGGACACGTGCCAGTTCAGCTTTTGTGCCTCATCTTATCATTCAGTTCATGCTTAGCACACAGTAGATACTCAGTAAATGTGTGCAGGTAGTACTTCGAGAATGGCCTGGATAAAGTAAAGCTCTCCTCTTTAGAGTCAGTGGTGGGTACATTTGCCTATTAATGGAATTTAAAATCTTTGCCCCAAGAGTTTGTTGGGTAAGTTGGGCACAGAAAGAAGAGCAAGGGGGCATGAATGACCAGCTTTGTTTATTTCACACTTGTTTTCATCCAGGGTATCTCTAGTAACTCTAGGGAGGGTGGCCAGAGGGAACCGGGACAGCCTCTGCTGGAAGGTGTGTAACCAAAGGCTAAATCAGTCATCTCTTCTAGATGCCAAGGGCCTCTCCAACCCCTCTGAGGTGGAGACTCTGCGAGAGAAGGTTTATGCCACCCTCGAGGCCTACACCAAGCAGAAGTATCCGGAACAGCCAGGCAGGTGAGAGAGTGCTGGCGGAAGGATAGTCATGGCAGCAAGGACTCCACTCTTCATCTCCTGAGCTCCTAATGTGCAGCAGGCACTGTTTAGGTGTTTTCAAATGTTATTTAATCTTCATAACAAGCTGAAAGTGTTAACTCCACAGGGCTAGTGGCCTTGTCTGTCTTGCTCACCATTCACTTCTCTAGCCTCAACACATAAAGCAGTGCCCGACACATAGTACACACCTTTAAATGGAGGATAAATAGCAAACAAATGTATAATTGTGGGAATTATTATCTCCAATTTCTATCAAGAAACAGAACCTCAGAAAAGTTAAGTGACTTGCGGAAGACCATAATGCCAGCACGCGATGGAGGTGAGATGGGAACCCACTGGGTGTGATTTCACAGAGCCTGTGTTCACGGTGTGACTGTATTGCTTTCTGTCTGCCCCCGTAGAAACTCCCACGCAGTACAAAGTACAGGCTTTGGTAGCCAGAAGACGTGGCTGCTGGTCCCCAGGTGCCATGTGTGTGGCATCTGGCAAGGTGCTGGGTTTGAGTCTAGGCTCCTCATTTGGAAAGAAGAATATTGGTCTAGCAGATCTCTGAGGCCATCTAGCAATATAGGTATTTCTGGGTTATTCAAAAATATTCTCAAAAGTTTCTTCCAAAGTACAGCTAAGCAAAAGAGTTTTCCCTCTTTACTGATGCCAGCTAAAGTACGGACACATGATCCTCAAATCTCATAGAAAACTGGAAATGAAACTGAAAAGACTGTCTTAAGACATTAATTTTGTTTGGGCGATTAATTTTACATGCTCCCTACGCTCACTAATGATTTATATTCCTCCGTGAAGTCTAGTATCTACTTAGATGTTTATCCTGGATCATAAGCCAGCATCTAGCAATTGTCCAGAAGAGGTTGAGCTGTGTTTTTTGTTGGAGGCTGTGGATGAATTTGAGTAGGTAGGTTTTGGCCCTTTGGTGCAATGAATAGGCAGGGCCTAGTTTATTAGTGAGATTAAGGTGTAATAATAGACCCACCAAATGCCAGCAGTTTAACACAAATGTCTATTCCTTGCTCAGAAATCTGGGTGGGCAGTCAGTTCAGAGAGGTGACTGGCTTGCATGCTGTCATTCAGGGATCAAAGCTCCTTTTTCTTGTGTCTCCATCATGACCCAGAGCCATAGTGTGTTTTGCATCCAGATGAAGGAAGGAGGAAGAGGTAGAAGAGTGGAGAGGCCAGGCCATACGCGTCAGACCTGGGACTTAGAGGGCCCTCATCTTTTCACTCACTTTCTTTGGCTGACACCAAGTCATGTGGCTCAGCTGGCCACAAAGGAGGCTGGAGAATGTGTCCTGCTGTATGCCAAGGAAGAGAAGAAAAGGCTGGTATTTAGTGAACCTGGCACTTCACTATAGATGAGATTCAGTGAGCCCTGGCCAAGGGGTCAGGACCTGGCTGCCAGCATTAGCTTGACCTCTGTTAGGTGTGAGCCCTAGGCAAGTCATAGTAACTGAAGCCCTGATTTGGATACTTTCTATCAAATCTTTCATTTTTGAACACATATTTGTATGCAGGGCATTAGAAATAATGAGTGTCGTATATATCATTTTCCTGAAACTGGCTCTATGTCTTGCTGTTTCTCTTAAGAAACAAACAAAAAACTCCAACTTGCTTTTTTCCTAATTATAAAAGCAATGCATACTTTGGCTAAAAAAAAAAAAATAGAAAATATTTTGAAAAAACACGTGGTGGCTCACACCTATAATCCCAGCGCTTTGGGAGGCTGAGGTGGGCAGATCACCTGAGGTCAAGAGTTCAAGACCAGCCTGACCAACATGGAGAAACATGTCTCTACTAATAATACAAAACTTACCGGGGCTTGGTGGTGCATGCCTGTAATCCTAGCTACTTGGGAGGCTGAGGCACAAGAATCACTTGAACCCGAAAGGCGGAGGTTGTGGTGACCTGAGATCGCACCATTGCACTCCAGCCTGGCAGCAAGAGTGAAACTCTGTCCAAAGAAAAGGAGGTAATAAGAACTTACTGGAAATATTTTGGTACATTTCTTTCCAGTATCCTCGTGTGTCTATTATGTATCGTGTGTATCCTCATGTATCTATTATGTATTACATGTATCGTGCATGCATTTCTAGATATGAAATTGTACAGTTTGGTATATTATTTTCTTCCCTTAGCCATTCTAGGAATTTTATTCAATTATTGACAACTACAAATTATCATTTCCAATGGCTTTGTAATATCTTGCAACGTGAACATATCCTAATGTATTTAGTCATTGCCTTGTGATGGACATTGGGTTGTTTCCAATGCATGTCACTGTGAAAACTTTGGAACTTGACTCTTCTGCTGGACGAGGGCTGGCAGGAGCCTAGGCTGCCTCCACACACTGAGGAGAAAGGCCAACACTTGTTGCCAGGACTAGGGAGAGCCTGGAACTGCAGAGAGGTAGCAGAGGATGGGTCCCCTATGTGTCTCGTGGGTTCTTCCAGTACAGCTTGGACTGAGGGTGACTGCCCTGATTAAGTGTTTGTAGTTGGCTCAGCAGGCAAAACAGGGGTGTCACTGGCCAGGTAGGTGAGTGTGCTGAGGGCTGGTCACCTCAGTTCTGCAGAATGTGGTTGAAGGGTATCCTGGCATAGCCAGGTGGAGGTGGATTTCTCAGTGGTAGAGTGCTGCCACTCTGTGGAGATGTCTCAGAAGTGCACGTCACTGGCTGCGTTCTGCTTTCTCTGGTCAGAAAGCAGAGATCAAAAGTCGGGTCACAGAGCTCACACACGCACGCTCTTGCACACACAGCAGGCGCCTCCAAAGGCATAAATCCCCCTTGTTGCTCAGGGGTGAGGAATGCGTTGGCAGTTCCATGGCTGTGACATTCATGTGTGTGTTTATTTCTATTAGCTTTGAACTCAGTTCCTAAATCCAGATCACACAACAGAGAGCAGCAGTATGATGGCATACTTAGCATTTTTATATTGTAAAATCTTGGCTTTTTTAGAGTTAAAAAACATTTTTAGGGTTAATCTTGGTCTAACTTTGCACTTATAGAGAAGCCGTTTCCTTTGCCTACTTCCATAAAGCTTACCGGCAGAGGTATGGCTGGGAGTCCAGCCTCCTTATTCTCTGTCTAACGACCTCTTTCCTGAACGGCGATGCCACTCAAATGCCTTCAGGGGCTTTACCGCTGGAGGCTTTTGCAGTAATGTGTGGCATTGGCATAGACCTTTAATTTTTCCCTGTAGAGAAGCAATTTCTACTTTTTTTTTTTAAAGATAGTGCCACTTTATTTTTCTTGTATTGATACATTTCTTTTAAATGTCATATGGCATGAGTATAGAAATATACACATTTTCAAGGAACATTGAACTTCCAGTTTGTAACTTTTCCATGAAATAACATTGTGACACTCAGTCAAGATTCAGCTGGAACCAGAAATCTCTGACTTAGGGCTACAGTGCCTAATGTGATTTTGGTCCTTGAACTTTTTATTGTAAGTTGTGAGTAGAGTGACTTCATATCTAGTAGCATTAATAACGTTAAAAGTGAGCTGATATTGCACTGTGCACAGAGGGCCACATAGGCGAGTGAAAAATGTCACAGAGAGAGGTGCCCAAAAGGACATGAGATGGGAGATGAATTCCTTCACACACTGGTCTTTCTCCCTGTTGTGAATCTCACAACAAGTGTCCTCACTTACAGAAAAATGTATGTGAGGGTATGTATGAGTGAGCATGTGAGGGTGTGTGTGGGCATGTCATAGGACACGTTGGAGTGTGAGTGTTGAGTGTGTGTCTGCATGTATGTGTGAGTGGATACATGCACATGTGTGCATGAGCATGAGTGTGCATGTGTATGGGTGTAAGACCACATGTATGAAATATGTGAGAATGCTTGTGTGCACATGTGTGTGTGTGTAATGTGCATGACTATAGTGCGAGAGCGTGTGAATGTGTGTGCAACCATGTGACGTTATGTGTGAAGGTGTCTGTGCATGAGAGTGTGTGAAGGTATGTGTGCATGCACCTGTTGTGAGGTCATGTGAAAGTGCATATGAGTGGGCATGTGTGTATGTGTGTGGCTGTGTGTGCAAGTGCATGTGTGTGAGGGAATGTGAGAGCATCAGAGTGTGAGTGTGTGTGTGTGGGTTAGTGTGTATGCATGCGTTGTATATATGTGTCCTCTCCTCAAACAGATCATGGGCTTCTCAGAGGCAGAGACCATTATTTTCTATCTCCTGTTTTCCCCATTTAAGGGTAAGCACAGACTAAGAAGTTGACCATAAAAATTCATAACAATTGACTGGGTGCGGTGGCTATGCCTGTAATCCTAGCATTTTGGGAGGCCGAGGCAGGGGGATCACCTGAGGTCAGGAGTTCGAGACCAGCCTGGCCAACATGGTGAAACCTCATCTTTACTAAAAATACAAAAATTTAGCTGGGCGTGGTCGTGGGCACCTGTAATCCCAGCTACTTAGGAGGCTGAGTCAGGAGAATTGCTTGAACCCGAGAGGCAGAGGTTGCAGTGAACCAATATCGCGCCATTGCACTCCAGCCTGGGCAACAAGAGTGAAACTCCATCTCAAAAAAAAAAAAAGGTAAAAATTGGTTACAAATTGGCAACAAAAATTTGGTGACTGTGAGCCCCAAGGCATATGCCAGTAGTCCCACCTACTTGAGAGGCAGAGGTGAGAAGATTGCTTGAGCCTAGCTACTCAGGTCCAGCCTGAGCAATATGGCGAGACCCCATTCTTAAAAAAATTTTTTGTGGGGGTGGGTAACTAAAGCAAATTGAAAGCATGGTGGCTGAAGTGGGGTTCTCGAACATGTTCATCTAATGGTGACAGCTGCCATGGATTCAGCACATTGGGTGCCTCATGCTTTGCTCTAAGTGCTTCAGCAGATCTGGGCAGATACCCAAGGGACACAGAGAATATGATGAGCCAGTAAGGCTGGCATCGTGAGTGGACACAGTCATCCAGTTCTTCCTCTTCCCCACCGTGAACAAAGGGAGCTGAGGGCAATCCTGGGACGTGGCTACAGACTGCAAGATTCTTGAAGGATCATGTGCTTCAGCTTCTGCCTTTAAGGCTGACAAGCCCTCTAGCCTGTTTCTGAAGCTCTCTAGGCTTAGAGATTCTGTGACTCCCTTGTCTCCCCTTCCAGCTCCTCTATCATAGATTGGTCAAGAAGACCAAACGGACGGTCTCCCACCAGCAGGTGCAGGTGTGTGGTGCATGCCAGTCCCTGTTCCTGATGCCTCTTGGCTTCCCTGCAGGTTTGCTAAGCTGCTGCTGCGCCTCCCAGCTCTGCGCTCCATTGGCTTGAAATGCCTGGAGCACCTCTTCTTCTTCAAGCTCATCGGGGACACCCCCATTGACACCTTCCTCATGGAGATGTTGGAGACCCCACTGCAGATCACCTGAGCCCCACCAGCCACAGCCTCCCCACCCAGGATGACCCCTGGGCAGGTGTGTGTGGACCCCCACCCCGCACTTTCCCCCACCTCCCACCCTGACCCCTTTCCTGTCCCCAAAATGTGATGCTTATAATAAAGAAAACCTTTCTACACATGAGACTTTTATAGGTGGACTTTTGTATAGATGTTAAAGGTAATACTCGTTGCTGTCTGCAGGGCTGGGGGACTTTCTGGAAGTTCTTGGGAAAACTAACCAAGCCTCTGTACATACAATTGGTTTAAATTATTTTTTCACTTGCCCTGGAAAGCAAACAAATGAGTAATAAAATAATATATATGAAATTGGCACTGCTGGAGCATGGGGTGTGTTATTGTGCTACAGGGAAATTGTCTCAGACATGGAGAAGGGGTATCAGAAGGGGGTCGGGGCTGGGGCTGGGGTCCTGAGACTGTAAATCCCAGAGCACAATGCCTGTGTCTCAGCCGGGATTCGCTGCACAGCCAGCTTCGTCCCAGGGAAGATTCTGGGGAGACTGGGAAGAAACACTGTCTTTAAAAATCTTTTTTTTTTTTTTTGTCTTCCTCCTAAGAATAATGAGCAGAAAGAGACTTATTCTGATTGGAGGCAATTCAGTGTAAGGCCAAAGGAGAGATGTTCTCTGTCCTGGAAGCTGGTGGAAGATCCCAGGTTCTGGGAGTTGGTAACAAAGGAATCGATTTTTCTGTTATATCATGAGCCAGCAACAACAGTGAAAAGACTAGAGTACGCCTAGTTTATTTTCCAATCTTATTTAACCCCATGCAGCCTGTTCTTAAAAGGGAAAGAGAGAAAACCTCTCCCACTTTTCAGCCTGGGATCTCCAGATTTACCTGGTTCTTGAATCTCAACTGCTTGCTGGACAACGAGCTCTTGGAAGGTATGGACCATGACACCATGGACAGCCCATATAGCTCACTGTCTTGAACTCACATTCCTGCCACCTGCAGGAATAGGGCTTAACAGATACACATATCCATGTATGCTGTGAATTACATGGTACCTCCTAGGGTTGTAAATGTGCAGGGTGAACAACTGCACTTAGGAGCCCCGCTTTACCTTTTCCATACCACAAGCACCTGACTCAGGGCCTGGTAAAGCACACATCTGTGGTGTTGAGTTGGGTTCCACACAGCTAGAAAGAATTCCCTAAATGACAATGTGGATGACATTTGTCTCATTCCCCATCAATAACTTGTCCCCTCAAAATCTCCAGGTTAATGCTCCAGTCAAAATACAATTGTGTGATCAGTGATTACTACTAAGAAAAACTTAGGGATCTCTTAGCCTTGGACATTAAGCAATGGAAGGAAAATCTGAATTCTGCTGTTTTTTCCCTTTACTTGTGTATCTGCATTTACTGTGAACTATGATGAAAATGATTGGAGATGGGTGTTAAAATTTAATTGTACCCTCCTTGATCTCTTCCTTCTGCCAGCATAATTCACTGGACACATTCAACTGCCTTATAGGTAACCAAAAACCTTCCAGGAAAATTCACTGTCCCTCACACTGGTGGTCACCTGAGTCCCATTCCAATTTTTTTTTTTTTTTTTTTTTTTTTTTTGAGATGGAGTTTTGCTCTGCTGCCCAGGCTGTAGTACAGGGATGGATGGGATCCTGGTTCACAGCAACCTCTGCCTCCCAGGATCCTGGCTCACAGCAACCTCTGCCTCTCGGGTCTGAGCAATTCTCCTGCCTCAGCCTCCTGAGTAGCTGGGACTACAGGTGTGTACCACCATGCCCAGCTAATTGTTTTGTTTTTAGTAGAGACAGGGTTTCACCATGTTGGCCAGGCTGGTCTCAACCTCCTGACCTCAAGTCATCTGCCCACCTTGGCCTCCCAAAGTGCTGAGATTACAACCATGAGCCACTGCGCCTGGCCCCCATTCCAATCTTTGATGCCTTTTCCAGCAAACCTTAGCTTTTGCCCGCAGCAAAACACAGACTCATCAGGGCTCAGCAGGGTGCTGCACATCCATGAAGTGCAGTGTCTCCTGAACTGCTGCTGGAGAACCTCACTGAGCCTGAACAGAAGCTTGGTGGGAGCCCGGCTGTCTTTGCTGCATGGCAAGGGGGGTTCCTATGAGACTCAGGGCCCCAAAGGCCAGCTCCTTCCTGAACCGGTCCTCCTTATACCCTAGCAAGAGCAACTGAGTGGGCGCTCAGTTCCACCTGGACTGAGGCTCACCTTCGCGAAGGCCTGGCTCCACAGAAGCCATGACAAACTTCTAGGGCCCACATCTCTGAAGAGTGAGATCTTTCCTCATTCCACGTGCCTCACCTACAAGCAGAATCAGCTGTGTGAGGAGATAGCATGGTCGAGACTGACTAATGTTTTTGGAGTCCCATATGCTGTACTGCATAGCCTGACTTAAAACAGGAATGTAGCCTTGCTTTCCATAGGTTCTTGTAGAGCCTGAGCTCATGGCTCTGGGGTAAAAAACTTGTTGTGCCGGGCACAGTGGCTCAAGCCTGTAATCCCAGCACTTTGGGAGGCCGAGGTGGGTGGATCACGAGGTCAAGAGATCGAGACCATCCTGGTCAACATAGTGAAACCCCGTCTCTACTAAAAATACAAAAAATTAGCTGGGCATGGTGGTGCGTGTCTGTAATCCCAACTACTCAGGAGGCTGAGGCAGGAGAATTGCCTGAACCCAGGAGGCGGAGGTTGCGGTGAGCCGAGATTGCACCATTGCACTCCAGCCTGGGTAACAAGAGCGAAACTCTGTCTCAAAAAAAAAAAAAAAAAAAGAAAAGAAAAGAAAAAGCTTGTCGCTCTGGATTTTGGCAGCCAGAGCTTGGCTCCTGGCTCTGCCAGCTGTAGTCTTTGATTTAGGGAAAGTTACTTACCCTCCCTGCCTCTCATTTCCTTACCTTATTTGTAAAGGTCAGATAATAATACCTACCTTTTAAGGATAAAAAGATGAAAGATGCATAAAGCCTAGTGTGAGAGCAAGTACATAAGACATACTTGGGTTTTGAGTCCTGACTTTGTCATTCCTGATGGAATTAAACCTCATTGAGCCTCAGTTACCAAATCTGCGAAATGGGATTCTTGTGAGGATTACATAAGCTAATGCTCTTAGTCCTGTGACTGGCATGGAAGATGGGCAAAAATATTAATTTATCTTCTGTTGAAGAGTGAGATTGCAATTAAAACTTAATCTTGGAGTTTCGAGGAGGTTGCTGGAACATTCTATTCCACAGCCAGCTTGGATCATCCAACATAGTATAAAAGGGATCAACAATTTCCAGTTTTTAGTTTTGGCTTAACACTTTTATTCGAGGTCACATCTTCATCAGGAAAATGGGAATGAACTACCCCATTTTCCTAACAAACAGTGCTGCTAACAGGAAGGCCTGTGTGAGCCTCAGGGGCCACGTGAGTACAGGGCGCTAGCGGCTGTGGAGCCTGCCTGTGAGTCAGATTGGAGGAAATACAGGCAGGGAGGTGCCATGGCCATGAACACGGGCTCAGAGTCAGCCCAGCCGGCCTCAATTAAAATCCCATCTGACCACTGAGTAACCCTGGGGAAGTGATTTAACCTGTTAGACCTTTGTTTTCTACTTTGTAAACTGTGAAAAATATAGTACCTGTCCACAGGAGCCTGTTGAGAGAAGCAGATGAGGTGATCTGTGAACTGGACACAGGGCTACGTCCGGCACGTGGTGAGCTCTCAATTAATTTTAGTACGTCATTATTATGAGTATTATTACTCAATTGAGTCTGGAAAGAAGTTCAGACTCCATGGAAAAGCCCCACCCTACACCTAACTCCTCTCCACACCCTATCTAACCTGAGAGCAATGCGCACCCTAGCCCCCATCCACCACGCCGACAACTCTCCCCTGCAGTGTGGGTCCGCCCTTCCTCACAGGCTTGCTGTGAAAGTTAAGTGAGATAATTTAAGGACAGCACTTTGTACACTATTAAAGACTGTGAAAAAGATGTCATCTGCACAGTAAGCATTTCTCGGCCTTGGCCGTTTCTTTTCATATCCTTCAGTGACATCCACCAAATATTTGTTTATAATTTTATATTGCTTTCTTGTTCAAAAACTTTCTGTGAAATCAACCAAATATGTTTATAATTGTATACTGCTTTTTTGCTCAAAAACTTTAAATGATTTGCTTTAGTCTTTATTAAGCAGTCTCAGGCTGTGCGCGATGGCTCGTGCCTGTAATCCCAGCACTTTGGGAGGCTGAGGCAGGTGGATCATGAGGTCAGGAGTTTGAGACCAACCTGGCCAACATGGTGAAACCCTGTCTCTAGTAAAAATATAAAAATTAGCTGGGTCTGGTGGCAGGCACCTGTAATCCTAGCTATTTGAGAGGCTGAGGCAGGAGAATCACTTGAACCCGGGAGGCAGAGGTTGCACTCCAGCCTGGGTGTCAAAAGTGAAACTTGGTCTCAAAAAAAAAAAAAAAAAGTAGTCTTACCAGGGTGCAAGCGTGTCCCTCCCCACCCCCAGGGACATTTGGCAATATCTGAAGACACTTGTCATGACTAGGGGAGTTCTGATGGGTGGAGGCTGGAGATGCTATTAAACATCTATAACGCACAGAATGGCCCAAAGCAAAGAATTATCTGTCCCCAAATCAAAAGTACTTAGATTGCAAAACTGCTACAAAGCATCACTAATGAAATAAAATAGCAAATAGTATTTTCCATTGTTTTTTAACTTTGGCTAAAGCCCCAAGGTGAGGCCACGAGGTCCCCTCAGGTTCTAAAGACTTCTGAAGGTAGATGAGCTGCTTCTGTGACTTACTCCTCTTCTTGAGCCTATGTTCGTAGAAGATTGGAATTTCAGGAGAGAAGTCCTTAGAATAAGGAGTACTTGGGGAGTTGATTCGTGGCTTTACTTACCCTATCCCTCCAGGGTATACCACGAGAGGGAGGGGTCCCCAACCCCTTGGCAAATGAAGGGAGCCGAAAAGAGCCACTCAGTGGGTGTGGACACCTACATAACGGGGAGGCTGGTGCCTGGCATCCTGGTTCATGCTTGCCCAGCAGCAGAAACCCACTGCCCTACCTTGCTGCAGAGGGTGGGGAGGGAGTGCTGGGAAGGGCCTGGGCTACCGGTGGAGCAAGATGGATGTCTCTTCTTGAGAGACACCTCTGAGGACAGGGGCCCCTTGTGAAGATGTAAGTGGGGGAAGGAAAGGGAGAGAGCAGCATGCCACCGCCCTCCTCTGTGTTCTTGGTTTGCCCAGGATGTGGCATTTTCTACGAGCCAAATGAATTCCCTGGAAAAAAACTGTGTTTAGAATATCCTGAAGGTACCAAGCCAAGAGAGTGGCCTCTCAAG